ATATATAATCACTCATAAAATCACCAAGTAAAGAAACTTCTCACCAAAATGATGGTCCCCCAGCTTTTCTCAACATTTTGTATTGAATTGTGGGAGATGGAGAAATAGAGAGACGGAAAGAAAAGGAGGAATAGAGAGAGAGAGAGAGGGAGAGAAAGAGAGGGACTGAAAGAGAGAGGGAAGGGATAGAAAGATAGATAGATAAATAGATAGATAGATAGATAAACAGATAGATAGATAGAATGTTGGATAGATAGATAGATAGATATAGATGGGTATAGATATATAGATAGATATATAGATTGTTCATACGTACATTCAAACCTGTAGAAATACAAAGACACGTTCATGTTCATAATAATAAATACCAATAAGTTAATAATATAACAAACTTTTGTAGTATAACACTTATAAATGATTAAAATCAAAGCATGAAGAACTTTAAGCGAATTCAAAGAAAATAAGTCCAGAAAGCAAACATTCTGTTTATGAGAATCGAATAGTGGGGTGACATTTAAAAAGGGTTTTATCTAGTTTGTTGCGCAGCTTGAATTATTAATAAAGTGAAGTAAAATTGGCAGAACGCATACTTATATATACATACATAGACACATTCGTTCATTGATGCATCAATAATAAATCGAAATATTAAAAAGAAATTAGGTTTATTTGATTTCCAACAATTAAATTATGTAAATCAAAAAGTTTACTTAATTTCATGATTAATTCATTGTAGGGCAATAATTCAATCACCGTTTTACCTTTCCTGTCCTGTCCTTGGAAATGTATATGGTTTTCACCTTTGCAACTGAATTTTCTACTTTTGTGGGCTGAATTCCAAACGCAATATTAGCGTACACTTACACAACGCCAGGTAACTAAATACTGTAAAATAAATTCAGCTTGCGGCGTGTGCTGCACCTTGATTAACAATCAGTCAGTCAGTCAGTCAGCTAATCGGTTAGGTTTAACAATTGTATGTATAAAAATGATTTGTGTATCAAGAGGGGGCAGCATACATATTCTCAATTTCTCATTTGGAATTTGTACACTTAAGCCAATTGAGACTTTTCACACTCTCAAATAAATCCCATTAATGCTCTGTTTTGATGCCTCGTACTAAAATAACAATAGCCTAATTTATTTTACTATATATATATTATATAATTACCATTCTACTCAACATGCCTCCCACATCTCGCATTAAGTACTCTTAAGTAGCTTATTATATACTTTTGATGTTTCCATTTCTTAATGCACTTGCTTACCCTTAAATGTCCAATATATAGGAGACTGCCTTGAATTCGACCTTTGTTACAATATGATAAATAAAAATAAAAACAGCTGCTTAATGCTATTTTCGTGTCTCAAGTTTAAATACACAGATTTTGGGTATTCATACCATTTAGTATTCTGATTTCTGAATTTATAGAGCATCGTAAATTAAGCTATAAGTTCGGACCTATCTTCTCGTAGCAACTCACTTGAATTGAATTAAATCGATTGAATTCGAATTGAAAATCCCTTTTAAGCCCATTGAGCTATTCACATGAAATATAAGTATATGTATTTTTGATGGCTGCAAAGCAAAAACGCTTTTAGTATTTATTGAACCATGGTTACAGTCGATTGATCGTTTTTTATTGCTAACATTGTTCAGCTACACATTAAATCACAATTTGATTTGTGTTACGCTCTTATCAGTCGGCCTGTAGTTTTCTTTGCCAGGCTCAATTGTGTTGTCATTAGTTGTTATTGCTGTTGTTAAGCTAATCTATGCTTCAACCCATCATGATATCATTAGGAACAATAAATAATAACTTCAGTACATTGGATATTTACAATATGTCAATAAATCACGAGTTGAATCAAATTAGTCAACTGCCTAAAAACTGTGACACAGTGCATTTGACGAATTCAAGCATTATTATTTCATATATTCCACACACATTTCAATCAAATTGTCTGTGTCAATCGAAGCGCATGAATAAACTATTTTTTCACTGAAATGCATATTAAGTACATTTCTCTGGCGCTTAGATTCAGATTCAGATTGGATTTTGTTCCAGTTTATCGCACACCTGACGCCTGCCGTCGCGTGGGCGTCAATATCCGGGGCTGACTGAAGGCAGGTGAGCTTGTTGGCTATTCTAGCATGCAATCGCATATATACACACAATGTACTTAGTACAATTGGGGGCTCACGTGGCTGCCACATGCGCCAATTCAATTAAAATGTTATACGGCTTGATGTTTGCCTTTTGTGTCGCCTTGCCACTCAATTTCCAGTTAATAAATGCTCGGACTCTCAGCATTTTGTTGGGCAACGAGTCAGCTTATGCAAAAACTTCATTGAAAACAATCGGTTAACATAAATGAAATGAAATGAAACCGAACGCAACAAAGTCGACGGAGGCAGCGCTTTCATGCATTTATTTGTTTAATTGTCTGCGAGTGCAGTTGCCTGGTGCCCATAATACGCCGTATTTTCTGATAAAAGACAGCAACAATAAAATGCGACTGCAACTGCGACGAACTTTTGATAAAGCGGCGTTGAATAGCCCAGCAGCTCAGCTGAACAAAGTACACATTGCGTATGAGTAATAATGTAATATACGCCCCGTCAAACAATCCGAAACAAAGTTGAAGTAGAGCATCACCCCTTTCGATCTTTAATCCCGAAATTTTACATGTGCTGCATTCATAATTCTTATTTATTCATAGATTCATTTTTCTAATATATATATTCAAGCCTTAGTCAGCGACATCTGCAACTTATAAAGAACATATTTCTCAATTAGTTTTGTGCATGTTGTTGAATTTGTAGATTTATTTGGACATGATTCGATACACTCAGCTAATGATCCGCAATATTTATTATACGGGCACAAAGTACACTCAACTGGCACACGATTGGCAATTCTCGACGACTAGCTTCGGATATTTGTGCAGACCATGAGCTCAAGTGTAGGTCGTAGCATTTATTCTCGACTGCCTAAGCTTGTGATTGCCAGAAAATAGCGTAATCGATTGCATTACAAATGGGGTTTATCAGTCTGCTTGTCGTGCCAAGTCATAAATTAGAGCCATGCACTTGAGCTGGCCGATAATTGTCTACATTTCTTTCAAGTCCCCTAGGATTATCTATTGTCAACGTTCACAGACCCCAAATTAGATAACACAAATTAGTGTACATCTGGCCCAGGTGAAATAACAAAGATTACTTCTTTCTTTTTTTCTATGCACAATGATAAAGGCAAAGTTCATTCAAGCCAATCAATGCCAAGCATGGCAATTAATTAAAGTTCAACCCGCCAAATAGAAAAATTGATGCCTCAAACCACCTGTGCCAATCGACAAAATTAGATAAAGTAGAAGTAGAAACCAAAAGAACTTAAGAAGCTCGACTATTAAATACCCTGTGTACCCTGCACAAATAAGTAAAAACTTGTGTTGTCCATCGTCCATCCCACGACGCAACATGCTTGCGGTGGTGCACACACACCTGAAAAAGCGCCTCATTAACGAAAGCATATAAACATATACCACATCACGTATAGCAAGAGTGCTTAAATAAAAATACTATATTGGATGCATGCATATCTGCCATCATAAAGACAAGAGTACTTAGAATTGAACTAGGAGCTTTTTGTATCTGCTGTGGATAAGCCGCAGTTATTAATTTATTCAAATATTAATGAGGTTTATTTATAAAATTGCTAAAACGAAATTAATAATATCCATAATAAATTTGAAAAAAAAAATAGACCTATCTAGATACGGGCCAGCTGGCTACAGGGTATCAACACTTAATCAGCAAATGCCTACAGAAAGACATTTCCCAATTAGGCACCACAAACATTTCGCCAGAAGCGACTGGCGAACAGCAACTGCGCACAGCGATAAGAACAAATGAAAGCCTTTATGGCTTATCGCCGCTTTTAAATGTTTATTCATAAGGCAAAAGCCCATATGGGAAAACTATGCATGGTATATGGTTAAAATTTGACTGCACTTGACTTTGTTGCACCGCAGCACGTACTCGAGGTGCACCATTTTAAGTACTCAGTACTCGATACTTGTGCCTGTCCCATCTGAATGACACTTTGAGCAGTTCTTGCTCGAGTGTGTTTGTGGACGCAGACACTCGAACGTGGTACGCATTAGCCACAGTTGGGCTGCAGGTGCCGATTGCAGTTCTACTTTGATTTGCATTGTGCGCGGTTCACCCGAGTGTCCAAGAGCAGAACAAGTCGTGTAAGTCGAGCTGCTTAGGCGGTGTAACTTAAATACGGGTGGGTGGCCCCGCTTCACTTCTAAGCATTCATTGTCAGTTAATCAGCTGAGTTATTGCGGTGCCATGTTGCCCTTTGTAATTACATTCTGAATGGAAACGCAAATTTCTTATTGTGGCTTGCTAAAATGTACAGTTATTGCCGCTCGTCGTGGAATATTTATAATGCTATAAATAGAAAAAAAAAAGAAAACAAAAATATAACAGTTGTACTACATTGGCAAGGTCCATTGTGCTAGGCCTTGCGGCCGATGCATGCCACACGCTGGCATGCAACAAGCTTTGCCCTTTTCTCCCATCATGACATGTAACGACCCTCAACTTGAACCTTTTCAGTTTGCCGCTGTGGCATGCGGCATAACAACCAATGCAACACGCTGCAGTTGACGTCTGATGTTGGTTGTCTAATGGGATTGCAGCAAAGAAAATATAATATATAATTCGCCACAGTTGGTATTAGTGATATTCCTGCATATCTACCGTTAGCCAATAACAAAAATCGTCACAGTATCACGTTAGATTATTTATATCAGAGTTGTGCGTGTCTCGTGCTTCCTTTCGTGACACCAGCCGGCAGAAGAGATCTATTCATTTTAATAAATTAAATTATATTTATTTATTTACAAATTGATTAATTCTTGTAATTCTTCATTTATTAAGATAGGTCCCAAAGAAAGCAAACCATGATTAGTTTAATTTTTTAATGTAATTCAATTCCTGCTGTAATTCCTCATTTTGCAATTTATTGATGTAGTCAAATGAAATACTTTCAGATTCTTGTATTATGTACATTTTGTGAATCGTGCTCATGTTATGCCAACACTGCAAGTTTCTAGCGTCGAACAACCTGATCATAGTATGTCATAGTTTTTTCAGCTTAAAGAAAAATCTGTTTACAAACTGTTAATGCAAATTGCATAACACAGCAACGAAATATACTGTGAAAAGTTAGTAAGCTGGTGAACGCACGCTTTACCAGTTTTTCTTAGTTTGCATATTTCTGGCTGTCCATCAAGTCGTATACGTGTTTTGATGCGACGTCACACTGCGCCAGTGAGTATATATTTTTAAACTGGCAAATGGAAATTTATTTCGTTTTTAATGGTAAGCGAAACAGAAGACAAACTAGTGCAAATTATTCTATTTAAATGAGTGCAATGGCAGTGACATTGACATTTGTGGCATTCCCTTAATGCTCGGCCAACTGTGTGCATATGATTAACAGTCAAATTTAATTTATTTGGCTGCAGTTTAGTGCGCAGCTCTCGACCGGCAACATGTTGAATCTGTGCTAATTGGCAGCCAGCCAGAGGTACAGACCAATGTGGAGGCAAGCTAACAGGAAGAGCAGAAAGAAAAGGCAAGATCAATATGTTTACCAAGACCGAAACCTATGACAAATGCAGTGCAGTAGCCAGCGCGGAATTAAATGTAAATGACAGTAACAACACAGACCTTCAAGACAAGGCAGCCAACAACAGCAACAACAGCAACAACAGCAACAACAGCAACAACAGCAACAATAGCAACAGCAACAGCTCATTACTGCGCTCAATCGATGAGCATTACGTTTGTGACATAGCCATGATGAGCATTGCCGAGGAAGTTGGCCAGATGACGGCCCAGGCCTTGCTGTCAAGCGCGGATCAGCCGCTTGGGAGCACAATGAGCAATGGCAACGAGCTGGAAATTGATCGCCAGGAGGAGGAGCAGGCGATAAGCCAGCTGGTGCGCTCGTCCAGCGGCGGCGTGCTAATGGAACCGTAAGTGCCCGTAAATATCCAGTGTCAACCTTTCCAATTGCTCACCTGGCAACTATCTATGCTTTAAGGGGCAGCCACAACAGCGGCAGCATGCGTGTTGTCCTGGGGATACTGGTGCGTCTGGTGCTGCCGCTGGCGAATGGTGTCGCCCGCGGCATTAAGGGCATTCGGGATGTACGCGTGCTGCGGGTGCTGCAGAATCTGGCCTCCAGTCGCCAGGCGCTGACCAATCTGGTGGCCTTTGCCGCGAACACCATATCGCTGAATCTATCCTCCGTTCAGGGTAAGTCCCTGCTGTGCCCCACATACTCATTGTGTCATCGTGCTCATACTGAAATTCACAGCTTTTTATATCAAATGCTTATCGCTCTATCCACAATCTCTTCCATTGACAGTTTCCAATCGTCTGGGGCCTTTGCTCAATTTGCTCAAGTTGCGCAAGTCCCAAGATGGCTTGGAAAGTCTGCCCGATACGTTGAGCACACGTACACCGACCACGCCCACAACGTCCACACCGCCCAATACGCCCACAACGCCCAGCACGCCGTTGCAGGGACCGCCAACTTACAGTCTTCAAAGCTCAAGCGCCAGCTGTTGCACTCTTAATATACTTGCCGCACCGCCGGCGGGCACACCCATACGCGCCGACATTGTGCTTGTGCATGGTCTGCACGGTTCGTTATTAAACACATGGCGGCAGGGCCTGTGGCAAAACGAGCGTCATCCAGTGGAGTTCGATCGACCGCCCCGGCCACCTGTGCGTCCACCAAAGCGTCCACGCCATTCACGCAGCGCCGCCATACATCCTGCGCCGCGCGAGAAACGCGCCAAGTTTGCCTCCTGCAATCGCCTTCTGGAAACAGATGCAGCGTTTGATGACGCTGCCTGGCAGCAGGCAACGCTGCAACAGACAACTGAGCCACAGGCGTTCAGTGCTTCCGACAATGATGATGATGCCGAAGAGTGAGTAGAGATTTAATATTGCCATTGCACTCACTAATCAATGATTCGCCCACAGTTACGCGTATGTTTGTGGCGAACCAGAGGATATACAAATCTGTGAGGGCATCGAGTACAGCTTCCCAACATTCCGTCTGCGTATGCACGACAACAGCCATTTGCTGCAGGTCGAGCTGGAGTCCATGCTGCAGGCCGAAGGCAATAACAGTCCCAACATGGACACCACACAGGCCTCTGCGACGCGCAAGACGGCCAGCAAAAGCAAAAAGAAACCTTCTGCCAATGATCCGAACTACTCCAACTGCTGGCCCGGCGACTGGCTGCCACTGGATTGTCCGGGTGTAAGAGTCATAGCTGTCAACTATACAACTGACCAGTATCTGTGGCGTCCGCTTTGGAAGACCAAGGAGCCACGCTCCAGCCTCATTCAGCGCTCGCGCGAAATGGCCGAGCTGCTTATGCAGCATCGCGTTGGCCACGGCCATCCGATCATTTACGTAGGCCACTCCAAGGGCGGCCTCTTTATCAAGCAGCTAATTGTGGATGCCTGGGAGAGCGGGCGTCCAGCTATGCGACCACTCTGGCGATCCGCTCGCGGCTGTTTCTTCTACTCGGTGCCGCATCGCGGCTCCCATTTGGCCTCCATTAAGGCGCCGCTGCTGACGCGCTCCGTGGAGCTGCTGGAGATAGAGAAGAGTATGACGAAACTATGTTTTATTATTTCAGTTATATGTAGTATAAACTCTCCTTGTAGATAACAAATATCTGTTGGATCTGCATCGGCGGTTTGCGGGTCTCTATCACTTGGGTCATCTAAAGATCGAGGTATTTAGTTTTGTGGAGACAGCTCTGACGCTCATGTCGGTACTGTATTTACGCATTGTGGGCGTAGATTCAGCCGGTAAGACCTAGTTTATTTCCTAACTTATCAAATATAGTTTAATCAAGCCTACTTTAACATCAACAGATCCAGGTTTTGGTGAAGTGTGCGGCATAAGGCTGGATCATCGCGAGATCTGCAAGCCGCGCAGCCGGGAATGCATTCTGTACAAGGAACTTGTGAAAATGATAAGAAAGGTGTGCTGAGCGCCCTTCAATTAGTCTACAATATCTAGAGGACCTCAATGAACTGGAATCGATATGTGAATAGGCTTACAACTAAAAGTTGACCGATATTTATGCGTACCTAAAATATATGAGGAGCGCCCTTTTTCATGTTGTGGTGCATAGCATAGATTTTTTTTTGTTTTTGTTTTGTTTAAATTCATAATTGAGCGCAATCAGAATTAACTTGATTTTAATATTTGCTTTTGTTTTTGGAATTGATAATTTAATGGTTTAAATACAGAGTTTAGTAGACCTTGTTTTGGTATTCCTTTTAAGTATCCTCCCATCGCAGTCTCGGAAATATATCAAACATCCAAACTCTCTTGACTGTGCCCATTTGTAGCTTAGCAAAGCGAAAGATTATTTTTAAGCTAAGTTTTAAGTTTTAGTTTTTGTTCATTTTTCAGACACACTCATTAAGATGCGTTCAAGCATGCCATTTAGCACGTAATATATGTAGGATATGAGAACTTTTGCTATTTTTTATTGTGATCATTCGTTCAGTTAGTTGTGATCATTTGAATATTTTACAGGTATTTAGCACATACCACAGCCCATAGAAAGCTATATGTTAATATGTATAATTGAAGAATATTAATACTTGTTAATGAACACCGCTGTTAAACGTTACCAACGAATTCATTTCGTGGCTCCTTTTATGATATTGCCCATATGATATTTTATACAAACCTGTAAAGTACTGAGAACTACTAAAGATTTACGACTAAGCCAATTGTAGTGTATATACTTATTTAAATATACGTTTAACGTTTATTTTGAATAAAAATGCATATTGTAGCATATGTTTTGTCATCATAACTTAGTTTTAATATGTGTTTTATTTGTTTTTTTTTTTTTCATTTGCTTTTCAATAGTTAAGGTTGCTTTTCTAGCGTACTTCACCTGTTTCACGTACATAAATCATCGTTACATATTATTAGACTCTGCAGCCGCGCTAATTGCTGGTTGGTATGTCAAATTACTTGCACCGAAAACTTTAACACAATTCTACATATATGTATAGTATGTATATATATATAGCTTAGTTTCTACATACAGTACAATAATATTTCTGTAGCATATACAATGTATATAAATTACATAAAAAATACATTAGATTTCTTTTAGTTTATATCTTTCGTTCGATTTCTGTTCAGCTTTTAAGCAATTTAGCAATAAACATGTTACAGATGGGGCAAACAACTAAGTATATATGTTTATAATTTAGTTACAGTTTAATTTCCACTCTACTAATGAGGTATACAGAATGAGGACTTAAAACCCAAACTAAAATTACGTACGAGACATGCTTAGTTCAAATAATGATTAGGATCAGCATTACAGAAAGAGTTGAGAACAAAATTTGCTTACAATTTTAGTGGACTCTTCATATGTGGATTGGTTTGTTTTTAGCCAAAACCTATGCAAAAGTCGCAATTCGCATTTCCATGCCATCGAATAATTCATTTCATTTTTGTTTTATTGTTTTCGCGCTTAAATAATTTAAACATTTATCACATCCACTTACACAGCGATCACAATCGCAGTTATTATTATTTTTCTCTTAATTTCTCTTTCTTGCCAATTTCTTTCTCGGTTTTTTTTTTTAATAAGTATTTCTTAATAGCTAATTTTATATATTGTTTTAATTACATAAATCTTTTGCCTTTTGCTGCATAATATATATAGATTTTTTTTTTAAATTTAACTTTTGTTTAAAATTTTCTTTCTCTTTAGGAATTTTGAGTTCAGTTACGGAATATTTTTTATGTTAATTGAATGCGATTTTTTTTGCGTTCATCAAAATTGTTTTTTTTTTTTATTTTTTGTAATTTATATTTTCTGAGCTTGCATTGATTTTTTTTATCTATTTGAATTTAATATATTTTGATGGAACACCTGGAAAATGTTGTATGAGCTAAGACTATTTTCTATCAGTTGATTCCAAATGCAGTGGAAATTGAAATTCTGTGGCTTATTTTAATATGAACACAAATCAGATTGGTTAATAATATTGGCGGCGTATTATGGTCTGTATGTGTGTGTGTGTGTTTGTATGTGCTTCAAGACGGTATTTGCAGTAAGTTTGTTATTTTTATTTTTATTTGTTTTCATATAGAAGCACATATACCATTCAGTAAGCCGCATATTTAAATTTATTTACTGTCTATATGCAATCTAATTTTCATTGGAAAGGTACTATTGTTTGTAATTTTTGTTAAGTTTTGTTTGGTTGGTTTTAGGTTCACGGGTTCGTTTAGGTTTCATATATGTGGTATTGCACTTAGGTCTAAATACGTATACAGTTACAGATATTAAACGCATTCTTCTATTATTGAACGGTACATACATACATTGTTTATTTGAATTTGCGTATTTTATTTAACGTTTTTTTCTCTAATTAGTTTTTTGGGTTTCATTCAGTTATAATATTTTATGCATGTACTATTTTATATGTCTATCAAATGGAATGTATCTGTGTGTGTGTGTGTGTGTGTGTGTGTGTGTGTGAGTGTATCTATATAATTCATAACAATTTTTGCATCTCGTTTTGAACATTGAACACCAATTCACAACAAACTATCATAGATGAGCCAATTTTAAATGCTGCGCTCAATGTCAAATACTTCTTATATTAATTGCAATGCTCATAGAAATAGAATATTTAATGTTGTGTGCGTACGAGTGTGTGTAGATGTGGGTGAGTGTGTGCTTGTGTGTATTTGTGTGACATAGCTAGAGGTTTTGTTGTTTGTACAAACTAGGTACAGTCGGTATTTGGGATAGACTCGTACAATACGGCTGCGGTACATTTGAAATGCGTGTTAGGCATAAACAAAAGGTCTGTTTAATTAAAATTGAAATGCAATATGCGTGTTTATTTATGTTTTGGTGCTGAAAATGAGCGCTTAACAAAATGCAAAATGAATATAATCAGGTACATTTGATATATCGGTTAAACAAAAATTAAAAATAAAAAGAAAATATACAAACAAAACACAAAATGCAGCAATTAAAATGCAAAAATTATGTATTAAGCTTAAATATTTATGCAAATATTTATATAAATATTTGCAGTAAATCGATATGAACACTTGTGACTATTGTGGTTGCATGTTGTGTGTGTGCGTGTGTGTGTGTGTGTGTGTGTGTGTGTGTGTGTGTGTGTGTGTGTGTGTGTGTGTGTGTGTGTGTGTGTGTGTGTGTGTGTGTGTGTGTGTGTGTGTGTGTGTGTGTGTGTGTGTGTGTGTGTGTGTGTGTGTGTGTGTGTGTGTGTGTGTGTGTGTGTGTGTGTGTGTGTGTGTGTGTGTGTGTGTGTGTGTGTGTGTGTGTGTGTGTGTGTGTGTGTGTGTGTGTGTGTGTGTGTGTGTGTGTGTGTGTATGTGTGTGTGTGTGTGTGTGTGTGTGTGTGTGTGTGTGTGAGCTGGGCTATTGCATTTGAGGTTTTTGGCTATGTTTGTTTGTAATTAAAAATTACGTCAGTTTGATTAATTCATATGATTTTAAATATACTACAAATAATAATATATTTAGAATTATTATTATGAGCCTCAATAAACGAAAGAAAACAAACAAAAATTAAACATGTAAAAATGTGCTTAAAATTAGTGTAAATATGTGTTAATATATATGAATGTATATAAATATGCTGCTTATTTACTCATATTCTTGTATACTCATATTCTCAGATAGTTCATCTTCGGTTCTCGAACCTAAATACATTTATAAAATGTACTCATATAACTAGGCATATACTTATGTATCCTTATGCTGAACTAATGCAAATGTATAGGGATCCCACAACGTTTGGAATGTTTCGACCTGCGAATGTGTCTGTGTGTCTGTGTTTATGAGTGTGTGTGTGTGATTGTGTGTTTGTGTGTAGTAGCTTCATGGAATACTTTTGCTTGGCGAGGCGACGACAACAATGGCAACAACTCAAACTCAGAATCAGCCATTTGGATCGACTTGGGTACGACGATGCAGAGCCGTGGACGCAGGCCACGCCTGTTTGGCCATTGCCGTCGTCTTTTTGCTATTAACGGTCACAGATTGCGTCTGTGGCCCGTTGGCAGGAACTATGGATGAATGCGGATGCTGCTGCGGCGGCGGCTGCTGCTGCTGTTGGCGATCCTTTAGCTGGACAACAGTTGGTTTCTTCTTGTTTTTGCTGCTGCTGCTGCTGCTGCCGCTGCAGCTGCTACTGTTGTTGTTGTTGCTGTATTGGCTTTTACTTGGCATTTGCTTTGTCATGTCGGCGGGCAACTTGAAACCATTGGTGAGACTAACACCCGCGTACTCGTGCTCCGATGTTGGCGTCAGCGTCGCCGCCGACTCCTCTTCAGCCAGCAGGCAGATGCCATCATTGGAATTCGAGTGTCGCGCAAAATTTGTATGGAATTGCTTTTTGCTGCCGCTGCTGCTGCTGCTGGCGCTGCTGCTGCTCAGGCTGCCGCTGCGTCGGCTGCTCACATTGCCCAGGCCCGGCACTGTGGCCACCAGCGGCAGCGAGTTGGGCGGCACAACCACCTCCAGGCCACCATCGCTGTTCTTGGAGGTAGTTTGCTTGTGATTGGCATTGGAGTTGGTGTTGCCGGCTGCCTGCAAGGCCACTGCGTTGGGCGGCGTATGGCGATAGGGTATGAAGAAGGCCTTGGCCTCCTGGAGCATGGCATCCTGCACGGTTTTGCGCTCCGGCGAACTGGCGCAGAGGGGCAACTGTGACAGATTGTGCACGCCCGCAATGCTCAGCTCCAGCTGTGCCTCCTGCTCGGCACGCCGCGACGTCGGACCGTTTCCATTGCCATTGGGCAACGTTGCGCCGGCAGTCGCTGTGCTCGTCTGATACTCCAGCGTGTGCTCTGGCAGCAGCTCTATGTGATAGCGGGAGCGTGGTATCAGTGTTTGCATCTCGTGACAGTCCTGCTGCAGTGTGCTGCCGCTCAGCCCGCCAGCGCTGTCGCCGGGCATGCCCGAGGCACTGCTCAGATTGCCGAAATTGATGTCCGTCGGCGTGGTCAAATGCGTGGGGCCCTGGGCGCGTGCCTTAAACCGGCGTCTCTGAAATATGATGAACAGCGCAAAACAAAAAACGCAAACAGTGGACAGCAGTGAGCCGATGGCGATGCCGCTGTAAACCTCATGATTCGAGTTGTTCTCCACCGTTTCTAAAATATGATGATGATGATTGACCAGGTCAAAGAACATGGGTGCACCGACGCCCGTTTCGCCAACAACGCGCACGGCCACATGAATCTTGTCCGTTTCCGAAACGTTGGGAAACTGCAAAATGGAAACGTGATTTATATGAGAATGTTTCCAAAGAGCATTCAGATTAAATGTTGTATATGTCGGCTACATCCTTAAATTGAATTTAACAGGCTTAGAGCTTGGATATGTCTTAATAAAGCTTATAATTTATCAAAAAGTTGTTTTTATATATAATACTTGCGGGTATAAACCGGCCTCGTTTTCCGCCAATTTACCTTCTAGTCTGAACTGAAGAGGCAAACTCTTGCTTCCAACTATTCAATTTTTTTATGAAGACTTAGACACTTGTAAGGCTAAACATACCTTATAGGAGCAGGTGCGGCACTCGAGTACATTTGCTTCGTGAGTGATATTGCCCAAGGTCCAGAGTATATTGTAGTGATGGACACGTCCATTGGGATGCTCTGGTGGCTCCCATACGAGCTTGAGACCGTTGTGCTTAACCAGACCTGAATTGCTGATGGTGCCGGGTGCTAAGTGAGCAAGTGAGAAGTAAAGAATTGGAATCTAATCTTGACATAATGAATATAGGAAGTGCTTACGGTCGGGCAGCGTCTGCACATCCATTTCGCCGTAGAAGATTTGTGGCTTACAATTGTAAAAATGGAAATTGTAGCGCTCATTGGCGCTGAGGCCGCTGACAAGCAGCATCGAATTGACAATGGTGCGCTCCTTGCATTTGGGCTCCTGTTTGCGCAGCGACAACTGGACGTGCAGATGGCACTCGTAAACGCAGGTGTCGTTGAGGCTGTCCAAGAACTGAAAGGCCAGCATGCGCGACTCCACGGTAATCAGGCGAAAGGACATGTTCGACTGATCAGATGTGCCGTTCTCGATCTGTGTGGAAGAGCAGACACATAGGGACTTTAGAGCATGCAATGGACTGCGTCGAAACGCTGGGCGCTGGGGTAAAGTGATTGCCACTTGCCACTACAGTACAGTCTACTCACAATCTTCCACTGTACATAGCGAAAGTCCTGGGCGAGGAACTCGTTCTCGCTGGTAATGATTAGAACGCGCATCTTGATGCGACTAAAGTGCTGCAAAAGCAGACCTGTGACATTGGCGTCCACCACTAAGCTAAAGATGTCCTCCTCCATTTCGAGCGTAACATCGTCCACCTCGTTGTCCAGCACCTCATGCTCCGCATTGCGCAGCACTGTAGCAGCAGCTGACTGATTGAGGGGCCGTATGATGGTAAGCTGGCGACGCACCTCGTCCGCCTTTTCCTCCACGGACGTAACAGTGCCATGGAGTGGTCCGTCCAGCAGCTGGGCGGGATGCGGATGAGTGTGATTGATGGAGAACTGCAGTATGAAGTACTTTTTGTTGTCCAGCTCCGCCTGCGACCACTTTACAAAGGTGTCGTTCCCCAGATGCACCAGCCGCAGCAGCACTATGGTAAAATAAATGTGATAGATGGTTCAGAAGTGGAACAGGAATTGAGCGGAAGATTGACTTACAGCCTTGGGTGCAGCAAACGACGGCCGGACTTCGGAGCGAACTAATCATCATCTGCTGCGGCACTATACTGCCGGAAAGCACCTCCGAGGTGGGCAGGAGAAAGCGCGTGATCAGCGCAAAGGGACGATAGATGGGCAGGCCGGTTGAGATCACCACAAACGAGGTATGATTAAGTTTCATGGGAGCAAACGAGCTCCACTGATGCGGATTGCTGCGCACAATGTGCACCACGAACATGGACTGCAAAAGAGAGGACAAAAATATTCAAAAAAAGTGCACATGGTAAATGGTTGATTAATCACCTCCAAGGTGCGGCTGTCAAAGGTGACGTTGATGGTGTGAAAGCTGTGCGGATAGCAGCGTATATTCTGCAGAGGATTCGGCTCTTCCGTCTGGCGCTTGAAGCGCATCTCGCCGGTGACTGAATCCTCGCCAGCCACATTCCGCGCAAAACACTGATATATGCCCCCCTCCTCCGGATCGAATGAGTGTATGTGCAGCTCGTTGCCGCTGATGTAGCGTGTGTAGGAACTGTTGAGCGGTGCTCCATTGTGGTACCAGCTTAGACTGGGCCGTGGATTACCCTCGGCGCGACACCTAAGCGTTGTCGACAGACTGATAAAACCAAGCTCCACGGGCAGCGTGCTAACTATTCTCGGCGGTACGGTAACCACGACACGAAACGTTTGCCTGTCGGTGGGGGTGGTGCACATGAAGTAGCCCTCATGCCGGGCCATGCTGACATTCGATATTTCTAGCGTCATGCTGTTGTTGCTCAGCTGGGATAAGGTGTTGTTCGGATGCTGCAGCCACCATTCGATGGGTACATAGTCCTCCACGGCGTGACACTGCAGCCGCAATGTGCCACCAGTGGGCACATACAGTGTGGCATTCTGGAAGGCGGGCAACAGTTGCGTTGCCGTCGCACCCAGCAGCCCGCTGCCGTGCGGCTCGACACGCACCTGCCACACGAACTGACGGTGGCTCCTGCTGGCATACTGGTTCTGGGCCACGCATCTGTAACGGATAATGTTTCACACACATTAATTGGCATGGACTGTGGGCACAATTAGGCCAGCCACTCGGCCGGTGCGTGGTGTTAATTAATGCACTCTGGTTAGTTTAGGCAGCACACTAGACCAAGGGAAAACTCAAAAGGGGTTGCTGATCAGTTGATGAATTGTGGTCAAGGTGTTGATATGCCACAACAGTAGCAGCAGGCAATTATAAATTGCACCTCAAAGCAAATGAGATGCGGTTCGGGTCTGGACAAGAAATGGGACCTTGTTGTGCATATACGACTGAACACGAGCTATTCGTGTTAAGCAAAACAACAGATTCGTGTGTGTTCAAGCATATGAAATTAAAATAGGTTCATTAAATTGCAAATAAGATGATGAGATGCGTATGTGGCCTAGACACTTGGGCAATTGAATAAGAAGAATCTGGATTTGTATCCCAGGCTAGCATAGGCCTTAGACATAGTTTCTGGTGCAATATCTGCTATTAAAATAATATTAATAATAAACCCTTCTAATTAACCCGACATCAGTTATATTTGTTTACATTCCATATCTACACTTACTTGTATCTGCCAGCCTGTTCCAGTCGCAGTTGTCGCAGTACAAGCGTGCCGTTGTTCAACACAAAAGCGCTGTAAGGGATAAAAAATTGAAAAAAGAAATCTTATTGCTGGTTTGCAATTCAAAACCCAAGCCCACTCATGTCAAGCGTTAGTGAAGCCACCAAGCTAGCAGGCGGCGTGCTATAGCGAGCATATATGATCAAGATCCAACCGCTGCGCGCTCGATGTCACAACACCGATCTTTACTCGCCTGCTGTCATTCGCCAGGGACTCGTTGCCAAAGTACCAGGTGACGCGTGCGGCGGGCACGCTGAAAAAAGGACAGCTGAGCACAAGTGGCCGCTGCTCCAGACCGCTTATGTTGGCACTCTGCTGCTGGCCAACAATCAAACGTTTCAGAACTGCAAGAGAGAAGGGATTAACCAAGTTCAGGTGGGAGAGGCCTGCGTACGTGCGCACCTGGATATTCGACCGTGATGCTGTCGGATATGACTTTCATCTCATCCGACTCAATTAGACAGTGATAAACGCCGTTGGCGCGCTCATTGGGCGGCAGACGCAGCGTTCCATTCTTATAAATGAAGAACTCATTCTTGCGTATGGTCAGGTGTTCAATGGCCTCATCGTTGCGGTACCAGCTGCAGTATATAGGAAGGCCGTCTAAGGTGAAGCAAAGTGGTCAATTAAAGCGTTAAAATGTGCCGGAGTAACTAGCTGTGGTCAACATACCCTGATAGTAGTCATAGGGATATATGATGGGATTGCATTGCAGTAAATAGGTTGCATGTGGATTGGTTATGGCCAGCCTTGTGACGGCGTGCTTCTTGATCTGTAGATACGGCTTCAATATTGTTGAGTTTTTCGATTGTGTGGCGGCAGCAACTGCAAAGAAAAATGAACAATGAGCCTGAATTGCACATCAAACAGAACGAACATTCCAGTCGGTTGCAACCGACAACGCAATACTTGTCCACTGGCAGCTTAGAGGAGGCTGTGTGCAGAGAAAACTTGGACACATTAGGCCTAGACGGAGACTGCCAAAAAAAGATAGAAGATACTCATTTTTACGTTATGAATGAATAACAAACGCAATATACTCTTTACATTTTGTGAACGAGTATAACAAGCTCAAATACTTAATTAATTTTCTGAACAAACCAAATATACTATTTGCAATATACTCTTTTTATTTCCAATATACTGTTTTCAATTCGTGACACAGTATAACACAGCCAAAGCAACTCTTTTCACTCTTTGAACGAGTGTTACAGGCCGAAACTACTCTCTACTTTGTGAACGAGTATTAAAAATGTCTCTGATAATCTAGTACACTTTGGGCAGACAATAAACAATGCGAAAAACATAAAACATTATTTATTCTCGGACGTAATCTATTGGCTGTTATAAATTTCACGCTTTTCACTTAGCCACGCCGTTGATTCGGCTGGCCTTATGGAGTTTATGGTTTTGCTCGCACAACCTTTTTTTTGTGGTTGTCCAATCCTTGGCAAAGAATGCCAAATCGCAAAACGCCGTGCTGGGCGCGGGTTTTGATTTTGCTGGTGCCTCTGTTTCTGGCGGTGGCTTTGGCTGTGATTCTCTGGTACGCAGCCAAGGTGTGAGCGTGTTAATTAATTTCTTTGCTATTCTTTGTCGTTTTTTGTTGTCGTTGGCATTGTAACGCTTTAAAGTCGCCTCGCTGTTGGCTGATGAACGGCAAAATTCCAGGCAAGTAGCACTCACAGTGCGTATACTTAATATTGCATAATGATACACCTTTTGTGCAGCATAGTAAGTAGTATATATACATATATAAAGCGTATTTGCAACCGACTGGATTTTGCATACGACCATCCTCTGCCGTCTATCATCGAAACATCTATTAGTTCGCTCTGACTGTTGCATTCCGAGAATTTTCTAGTGTCGGAGCTGAAGTGGCTGGTGAAAAATGGTGGAAAGCAAACCGTTGCGATGTTCCCCAATAACAAATCGCCAAGCATTAGTCAAATGCGTTGAAATTTATGCTAAAAATGCAATCAACTAGCGTTCCGCTCCAGCTACGGCCACCCAAGTGGCAGCCAGCCACAGGGCGCACTCACTTGTGGCCAGGCCAACTGGGCTAACGAGCCAGTTGTAACTGGGAAGACGACTGATTCGCTGAGTTCTGAGGAATACTGTGAATTTGTTTCAGTTTTTGATAAATGTAGTGAAATAAATAAGATAATTGCTGAACAGCCGCATAGAATGCTGACTGGGTTTTGATCAAAATGCGAGTGGCGACGCAGCCCGCCGATATGTTGCATGTTTGTACGCAATGTGTTGCAATTTTTATTGCTGTAATTACACGCAATGCACATGCGGCAATTTGACGCATGAAAATTCCTTGGACCTGCCAATGTGATGGCTGAAACAGCCAAATGCCATGTCAGCAGCAACAGCAACAGTAGCTGCAGCAGCAACAGCCGCGCTAAATGTGGCAACTTTACAGAACATGCAGCTAAAGCCGTGTGGGGACGGAGAGCGGGGGCGTGGCTTTGCATGTGCAACCAAAACGTAATTGTTATGGCATAATTGTTTCAATGGCAGGGCGTTTAATTGCGCTTTAGAAACTGCTGCCCCACAGTGCACTGTCAAAGTTCAGCACATATGTGTTCTCTACCCTTGCCGCGGGTATTATAGTATATCAAAAACGCATGTAACGCAAAGAAGGCAGCTTTTAATCCAACAGTTCACACTATGTGTATGTGTCTGCCTCTACATGTTTCTCAGCTATAGGCTATATACGATTTCTTAAGAAACCTGCATAGAACTTTTTGCTGTAGCACATATCTGCAGAGCCTCAAGCGATATGTCCACAAGGGTATTTAATCGTCGGCGTGTTAAGGAGTCATTCTTTTATTTTTTTATTTTGGCTGTCATTGCCTGCCACACCTAACTGCAATTTTTCATACCTGAAAAGGGCGGTGTCAACAGCAGCACGTCGACAATCATTAGCAGCGTGAGGGACGGGAGGGGTTAATGCCTGTAATATTGAATTTAAATTGCAGCCGTTTTACTCGACTAACAGTCGACTACACAGTTTGGGCTGATTGCGCTCTCGCCAGTGCCATTTATTTGATACCATCTAGATGCCAGCTATCAGCGGGACAAGCACTTTTCATGCTACCAATTGGTGGCCATAACACAGCAGCTGGCAACAAGATGGACAATCTCAATGATTGAACTGTCAGGACAATCAGCTGTTGTGCGTCGATTGGCCCTACCGTTATTTGCAATCTTCCAATATAATTCCAGGTCATTTATTTTATAATCTGCTCCCCATCTGGGCAAATTCAAAGCCAAAGCCAAAGCAATGCAAAAATTCTTGCAGTTGCACTGCAAGTCAACTCACTGGGCAAGAATGTTTCCCAGAATCGTGCTCGAATGCTGTTTGACAACAAACACACACACACTCTCATACACACAGCAGAGGCACATAGCAGCCAGTTACTAAGTTGTAGCAAGTTGCACGTTAATGCTGGACGCTGTGGGGTTTGGTGGGGGCAACTTGCACAAATTTGCATAGTTGAACGCACGTCGAAGGCAGCAGCGCATTCCATGCAGCAACTGTTGCTGCAGTCGATGATGAATGCAACTGCAACTGCAGCAGCAGCAACAGAAGCGGCGGCAACAGCGGCGGCGGCAGCAGCAGCGGCACATAAATTGCTGACTTGCTGCGCAGCGTTGCGCTTATCAAATGGCAACATCTTGTGCATAGATAAGTGAGGCCCGGCAACGGCATTGAACGGCAACGGCAACGCCAACATTTGCTTCCCTCAATGGAATTTCACAAATTCAAATTGCCTGGCATCCTTTAAATGCCCCAAGAGCAGCAGCAGCAGCAGCAGCAGCGGCAGCAGCTGCAGTTCCCAGCCGCAGTTGGCTCGCATCAGATTCAGATTCAGGCAGAGATTCAGATTCAGATTCAGGTCCAGGCTCAGCTGCAACGTGGCGGGCACAGCTGTTGGCACACTTTTGCGGCAGCACCATGGCAACATTTTATGCAGTATGCAGCGCGCATGAGAGATAATTTATCGCCTAATGACGTGCTGCTCTAAGGTTGCGCCACGTTGTTATAAAATGCGGCAATAAAACGCAGCAGCCACCAAAAACAACAAAAGAAAAACCATCAACATTAGAGAAAATAAAATAAAATTAAAATGAAATTTTAATGCCACAGGAGCCCAAGAGCAGCGCCTACAGCAACTGTGCGGCTTGCTACTTGCAGCTGTTCCCGCACCCCCGCTCCCCTACACCACACCGCTCAAGCCTAACAGAATGGGCCACTCTTTGGCGCTGCGGCCTGTCGCTTTGGGGGCGCTCAACGAGAATTTATGAATGTGCAAATGTGTACGACAATTTCGCGCATAAATGTAAGCTACTGCCCAGTTGCCCCGCTGCCCTGGCAGCCACGAGATGCTGCCGCACAGCAGCAGCAGCAGCAGCAGTAGTGTCTGCACACCCACCGCAACTCTGCCGCAAACTTAATCTGGGCAAGAGGGGGATGTGAAAAGGGGTCTCGTAGCTTGGCATGGCAATCGAAGATGCGTGTGCACATTCCATAGCATTCCGCGCAAGCATGTGGGAAGTTCAACGGTTGCACTGCAAGTATCTTGTATCTCAAGTTGGAGCCGCATCTATTCATTGCTTGCACCACACAGTTCATTGGCGCGCGCGCCCGCTCCCAGCCAGTGCCCACATCTTACAGTCGGAGGATTGTGGCTTCCAATTGGCGTCGCTTTGCTGCTGCCTGCTGCTGTTTGCAGTGTTTTTATACCCTTGCAAAGGGTATTCAAATTTATTTTCGAAATTTGCAACAAATGGAAGAAAACAACTCTCAAGTGTATTAGAAGTATTCTAAATATGTATGCATGTTTCATGCTAATTTTAACCCGAGCATGTTTTGTTTTAAGAACCAATGCCTGGTAAAAGCCTTTCGGGTTATTCGGATCCTAGCTTAAAAGCTTACAACATTGGCGTGCACATCACATATTTTGAGTTCTATCGGACAACTATAACACATAGGTCCAATAGAAACAATCAGTGGAAATTTAAAATGTTTGCATTTGAAGCTCTTTTGGTTTTTTTTTTGGACATAAATCTTATTATGATCCTTACATTTAGGCAAAAATCTATATGAATCGAGTTAATATATATAGTTTGTACAATTTTGTTAGCCCTTTTTTTATTATTATTACTAGCGAGGGTATTTATTATTCGGCAGTTAAAGTTGCCTCCGCTTTCCTGTTTTTGTTGCGGGCATCTACGATAGTTGCCGCCGCTTATTTGGGTTAGCAGCTCAAATAGTTTTACGTGCATTTTTCAATGCAATTTCCAAATGCCGCGAGAAATTTATGAGAAAGTCTCTAGTACGCCCACCCCACTGTAATTGGTGGTGTATAATGCCCATTGTTTGCCTAGTGCCTTTTGCCTGGCAGCTCAATTGATTACTTCAGTGTGTGCGTGTGTGCGTATGTGGGTCTGCGTGGAGTGTGTGTGTAGTGTGTAATTGAGTGGTTGAGAATGCTCGAAATTCTGCTAGCTGCGCTGCGAACTAGCTAAAAGCGCTTACCCGACAGACACACATAGCTAAACAAACCCAACTGAAACCCGGGAAGCACCACACACACACACTCACACACATATATATGCATAGCATACCAGGGTGCCAGAGTGGGTTGTGGGTTTGGGATTTCTGGCGATTGAACCACTTTAAACAATGGCGGGCATTTACTTTGCAAAAGTCAAAGATAAATTGCCTTTTAAACTACAAGCTCCGTTTGGTTAGTTGGTTTTTGGCAAAAGTCCTGAGCTCTGTTTGTTTGCAACACCCCACACACACA